GTTAAGATTAATGTTGAATAATTGTTGATACTAATATGGTTTTGTCAATAAGTCTATTGAAAAAAAGAAGGGAGGTACCTACCTAGATGACTTTTAAAAATGCATATAATTGCATTTTTATGTAGGTACCTACAATTAAATTGTAAGAATGAAAATCATATATGAATATAGTATTTAAAATTTAAATTGATATCCTCAAAAATTTTTAGTCGATTTTAATTTAATGTGGTTTGGTTAAGTTTAATCTTTTGAATGATCGATCAAATAATTTAATCAATTTCAAATTGTAGAATGTACCTAGAAATCATTCTTTTTAAAAATAATATTTTGAGAATGTTGTAAATTAACCTGTACCTACTAATTTAAAAAACCTATTCATTAAGTTTCTTTTAATTAATTGCTCTAGGTAGATACTAGATACACACTTCAACATAAAACATAAATATTAAATTATAATGCATTTTACCGGTAACAGCTAGGTACTTCTTTGCTGACACCTCGAACGGTTTCGTGAACCGTAAATGTTTTTATTATTTCTCCTTCACCTTCGGTTGCACATTGTTCTAAAGGTAACATGAAAATTGTTTGTAAATAATCAAAATTAAATAGTCTAAGAGAAAATAAAAAGTCCTCATTGAACTCACTGGTTATTGGCGAAAACCCCAGGGCCAAAACCACAAGATATACCTATTAGATACTTGTGCTCCAACATGTTGATGGAACTTTTGGTCAACGTGTGGAAACAAAATCAAGCTGTCACAAAAACACCATAAAAGTATTTTTTTTAAAAAACTGTGAAACGCATACGGATGTAACACGTAAGTTTAGTTGTAAATACTAACAACTAGACAGACATAGGTACCGCCGATTTATAACTTACAAAAAATAAATGCGTTACGCAGATAGATAAAAACACTTCGTCGTGTCGCTGACGACTAACGGGATTGGGGTACGTCTTAGATTTAAGATTTTAAATCGTGGGACCGTTATCTACAGCCCTGATGCTTATAGTATATACAGGGTCCGGCAGAAGTCATGACACGAAAGTAGAGGGCGTTTGTTTAGGCTGTGGTGGGAGTAGCGGAGTGGGATTGCGTGCGTTGTGTAGCTTCGACGTTGCCATTTTCAGTATCCAACATGTCATGGTCGGGTAAACAACGTGCGCTCGTTGTGAAGTGTTTTTTTCAAAATGGCGAGTCGCCTATAAAAACGCAGCGCGCTCTGCGCACAACGCTTGGCCTTGGTCGACACGATCCTGTTCCCAGCTGCAGAACAATTAAACGTTGGGTGGATAATTTTAATGAAACTGGATCTACTGAAGACAAAAAGAGAAGTGGCAGACCCCTTACAGCCAGAACACCTGAAAATTTTGAAAAAAATTCGCCATTTTGAAAAAAACACTTCACAACGAGCGCACGTTGTTTACCCGACCATGACATGTTGGATACTGAAAATGGCAATGTCGAATCTACACAACGCACGCAATCCCACTCCGCTACTCCCACCACAGCCTAAACAAACGCCCTCTACTTTCGTGTCATGACTTCTGCCGGACCCTGTATATTAATAAACTTAGAGCATAGGTTATTCTATACTTAAAGAAATCTGAAATAAGTCTATAAGCACAGATTAAGTTTACTCTAATAGTTTAGTCTATAAATACCATAGACCTATTAACTGTTAATAGGTCTATGATAAATACCGTGCTTATCACTAACATAGTAATAATTGTTATCAAATGAATAACAACAACATAATATAATTTTAATGTTAGCCGACTTTAGTTGAATCATTTGAATCATTCGATTAGGTATTTGAAATTTGAACGGAAATAGTAAAGAGTTTACAGACTACTATACATTCGTACAGTGTTGTATTCATACGTTTTAGTAAAAAGTTGCCATGCATAAGTGTATTCTTTTTAGTAAGACATCCAAAGTATTGCCTCGCCACATTACTTTAATTTTCATTTGTAAGTATTATTTTCTAGTTGTACTGTTAATATTTCTTAATAATATGGTGCCAGTCTAATTTGTTCATGAATATAGGTTTCCAAAAGATGAAAATAGAAGGAAATAAATTTTCACATTAAATGATTACCCAATTTCT